CTCGCTCGCTCGCTCGCTCGCTCGCTCGCTCGCTCGCTCGCTCGCTCGCTCGCTCGCTCGCTCGCTCGCTCGCTCGCTCGCTCGCTCGCTCGCTCGCTCGCTCGCTCGCTCGCTCGCTCGCTCGCTCGCTCGCTCGCTCGCTCGCTCGCTCGCTCGCTCGCTCGCTCGCTCGCTCGCTCGCTCGCTCGCTCGCTCGCTCGCTCGCTCGCTCGCTCGCTCGCTCGCTCGCTCGCTCGCTCGCTCGCTCGCTCGCTCGCTCGCTCGCTCGCTCGCTCGCTCGCTCGCTCGCTCGCTCGCTCGCTCGCTCGCTCGCTCGCTCGCTCGCTCGCTCGCTCGCTCGCTCGCTCGCTCGCTCGCTCGCTCGCTCGCTCGCTCGCTCGCTCGCTCGCTCGCTCGCTCGCTCGCTCGCTCGCTCGCTCGCTCGCTCGCTCGCTCGCTCGCTCGCTCGCTCGCTCGCTCGCTCGCTCGCTCGCTCGCTCGCTCGCTCGCTCGCACGCACGCACGCACTCACTCACTCACTCACTCTCACACACACACACACACTCAAGCACACACACACACACACACACTCGCTCGCTCGCTCGCTCGCTCGCACGCACGCACGCACTCACTCACTCAATTACTCACTCACTCACACACACACACACACTCACTCACCGACCGACCGACCGACCGACCCACGCACTCACTCACTCACTCACTCACTCACACACTCACTCACTCACACACTCACTCACACACTCACTCACTCACTCACACACATATACACATACATTACACTCATGGAAAGTGATAAAATACTATATAACTAATCTCAACTGCATGTTATAAGACTATAAGGCATGAAGATATTTTTAATAAACATTAATATCATGATTTTCTGCTTTGAAAAAATGTCTTATGAAAAGCACTATGTAATTAATTCTGATTTGTCTCTTTACTTTACATACTGAAAATATGCAAGCATAGTACGAGGAGAGGATATACTTATAACTAAGTCTGTTGGACTTTATATTTTTTATATTTTATATCTAAATATTATAGGAGTTTCTGTTATATAATACTATATAAACTATAATCTGATAGTAGTTTCAAAAGGGTTCAAATTTGTGTGAGATATCTAATATAAATAACTTATAGTTTAGTTATAGATTAATTAATGTGTCATTCAATTTTATTAGATTTTGTGACAAAAAATTTAAAAATTTTGTAATATTTTGTAAATGTGTAAATATAAATGTTTATTCTGTAAATAAAATCTGACGTTAAGTGTCCAGGAGCTAACTGAATTTATTTATTTATTTAATATCTTAATTTATTTTATGAATTAATACTGCGTTCCTGTGGCTCAAACAGTAGGTCATGGGTTCGATTCCCAGGGACAGCAAGAACTGATCAAATGCGTATCTTGAATGTAATGCAAGATGCTCTGCAATAAAAGCAGTTTTGATAAAAGCTTCTACCAGATGCATAAATGTGAATTAAACATGTTTAGCTCCGCCCCATTACTTGCTGTTACTCCAGATTAGCGGAGTTGAAATTAAGAAGCTGAATTAAAGATATTATTGTCAGATGTTGTCAGATTGTCAGATGTTAATGTCTGTTATTGAAACAGTTATATTAATTTTCCTCCCTGTATTGTTGTGTGTGTGCGTGTGTACATGTGTGTGCGTGTACATGTGTGTGTGTGTGTGTGTGTGTGTGCGTGTGTACATGTGTGTGTGTACATGTGCGTGTATGTGTACATGTGTGTGTGTGTGTGTGTGTGTGTGTGTGTACATGTGTGTGTGTGTGTGTGTGCGTGTGTATACGCACACACATATACATATACACGTACACATGTATACATAACTTCATACATGTGTGCGTGTGTTCATGCGTGTGTGTGTGTGTGTACATGTGCGTGTATGTGTACGTGTGTGTGTGTGTGTGTAGTTTGCGGAGGCGCAGCAGAAGCATGAGGCAGAGCAGAGGAGGAAGTTTCCTCTGGAGCGCAGACTGAAGGAGCACATCATTGGACAGGAAGGAGCCATCAATACAGTTGCATCAGGTACACACACACACACACACACACACACACAAGCCCCAGTTCATGATGGTCCTCACAGTCTGATCAACTCTGCTGTTTGCATTTTCATTTAGCAAATGCTCTGTTTGGACTGGACAGTTCAGAGAGTTGCTTCTGTGTGTGTCTTTGTTTTTCCTCTGTGTTTGTGGGTGCAGATAAATGATTAATGCAGATTTGAGTGTGTGTGTGTGTGTGTGTGTGTGTGTGTTACGCAGCTGCTCCAGAGTTTCGTCTGCTTCATAACTCAATTACTGGTCCTTCCTGCCAGTGTCTCCGTCTCTCCATCACTTCCTGTTGTTCTGTTTCCAGCAGATCAGTTGACTCTCTCCAGTCCTCATGTTTGTCATCTCTCCTCATACTTCTCTTTGCTTTGATTTTTCTCCTGTGAGTGTGTGTGTGTGTGTGTGTGTGTGTGTCTCCTCTACGAGTCCCAGGACAGATAGAGAGACAGATATGAGTTAAAACACAATAACATACACCTCTAATAAATACTGAACACACACACACTGAGGGGTCTTTGTTTATCGATCAGTGAGCTTTTACAAACATGTGCTTGTGAGTGTGTGTGTGTGTGTAAATTAATATGCAAGTACCATTTTTGGATTTTATGCCTTTATTTAAACTGGAATTGTATATTTTAGGTGTTGCTTTCTGTACGCAATGTCAGGATGCTCTAGGGTGGTTGCTAGGGTGTTGCTATGCAGTTACCAGGGTGTTGCTAGGTGGTTGCTAAGGTGTCTTACTGCTGATATTCTGGTCTGTAGTGATGACTGTGAGTTTTATCGTCCAGCAGGGTTTTGTTGAGTGATTTTGCACGTTGTTCACAGATCTTTGCTCTGTGTGTCCATCAATAGTGAGACGGCCGTCCTCGATAGATAGAGAGAGACAGCAGAGGAAATAGTGACGCTTCAGTGAGCCCAATCTCTGCCTCTGATTTGATAAATGGACAGTTATTGCTGTTGCAAATTGTCCCGAAAGCAATTGGATCCCATCAGCACTGTGATAAAACCAGGGTTATTGATCTGTGAGAGCTGATATAGTGAATACATCAGCCCGAGTCACAGACACACACGTGTGCGCTGCTTCTGCTGCATTAAACACACACACTTACCCAAATCAAACCTCTGAGTGTGTTTTAATCATCTGATGGCAGCACGTGATAAAGTGAACCAGTGTTATTTTAGCATTAATATACTGAAGTTTTTGTAAATATTTTGAATTAGTTTATTTTTATATTTCCGGTTTTCGCATCAATTTTAGTAAACTTGTTGTGTTTTTGTAATTTTTGTATTTTTTATATTTTATAAATGTTATAATAGATTTATACATTTTATTTATTATTATATATTATTATTTTATTTATTATAAACTAAAATAAAATTTGAAATATTTCCTTGGCAGCTGCCTGATATAAAATAATTGTAAGTTGTTGTTTTTTAGATTTAATTTCAGTTAAGGTTTTTTCTATTTCAAGTAACACATTTTTTATGGTTTTAGTTTTAGTTAATGATACCTTGACTTGAACTTTTATAACCCTGACTTTTTACAGGTGGACTGGAAAAACGGGTAGAGATTGGTCTGCTTATTTATTGACCACAGTTGGTTATGTCTTAAGTGAACATAATTTTACTTATATTAATTAGGCTAGCATTATGTAGAATGAATCAATGTTTTGGAATAATTATGATGTTTCTGAAAGAAGTATTTTCTGCTCACCATGGATGCTATTATTTTACACACACACACACACACACTCGCTCGCTCACTCACACACTCACTCACACACTCACACTCACTCGCTCACTCACTCACTCACACACTCACACTCACTCACTCACTCGCTCACTCACTCACTCACACACTCACTCACACACACACACATTCACTCACTCTCACACACTCACTCACTCACTCACACACTCACACACACTCACTCACTCACTCACTCACACACTCACTCGCTCACTGACTCACTCACTCACACACACTCACTCACTCACTCACTCACTCACACACACTCACACACTCACTCACTCACTCTCTCTCACACACACACACACACACTCACTCACTCACTCACTCTCTCTCACACACACACACACACACTCACTCACTCACTCACTCTCTCTCACACACACACACACACACTCACTCACTCACTCACTCTCTCTCACACACACACACACACACTCACTCACTCACTCACTCTCTCTCACACACACACACACACACTCACTCACTCACTCACTCTCTCTCACACACACTCACTCACTCACTCACTCACTCACTCACTCACACACTCACTCGCTCACTGACTCACTCACTCACTCACACACACTCACTCACTCACTCACTCACACACACACACACACACACACACAGAGGAAGCTGTAGATTGATTCTGGGTTTTGCTCTCAGGGCTAGGTTATTGCTGGGGATTATCTTCACTAATGTCATTACAGCCCTCCATCCCGAGACACAGAGAGCATCACGCTACACATACAGCACCGCACACGTTTGTGTGTGTGTCGCTCTCAGCAGTCACAGGTACAGTTGTTTTTAATCAGTGAGACACTGGAGCTGGTGTCATATAGTGAATATAGTGCTGTCTGAGGGGAGTTTGACACAGCAAGTGACTGTATTCACTATAAAACACAAGCTCTAGCAGTGCGTAAAGATTACAAATATAGACAAATGTTGATGAAAACATGGTTTTTGAGAATTGTTTATGAACTTTAAGAGTGTGTGTTTCTGTTTTAGAAACAGATTTCTAGAGGCTGTGTGTGTGTGTGTGTGTGTGTGTGTGTGAGTGAGTGTATGTTTGTTGTACAATTGAATCTGATTGGCTGATAATAAACGGGGATTAGAAATTAGTTGGTCACTGGTTCACTCTCAAGGACAGACATGTGTGTGTGTGTGTGTGTGAGAGAGA